AAATGTATTCTTTCAGATGTGTTGTGATCAATTAAATATAGTTAAAGCAGATACAATTTTTTTTTTTTTTTTACAGCAAACACTTTTGAAATTGCAAGTTAAAAATAGTCCCGCATGTACACTTGCACTATGAGTCTCATGGCTTTTCCAGAAGGTTTCCCAGCTGTTCGGCAGGCACAATGCAGGACCTTGGATTCTCTGAAACCTCTTGCTTTTTGAGTTGGTTTGGGCAAACTCAGGCAAACTTGGTTCATACCAAGCCCAGCCTCATCACTAGTATATAGTCTGTGTATCCTGCGTTGTAGGGCAGCAGTTATAATGCTTTAGGCCCCATTCACACTGTCCACTTGCGCGTTTTTATGCAGAGATCTGTCTGCTAGATGCTTTTTTATGCTTCTAGATGGTAAACATGACGCACGCTCATGCACCTTTTACACGCATATGCTTTTAGATGCATCTGTCCTTTGTCCATTGAAACAGTCCAATGAAGTAACCAATAAGATTTTACCAAATAGACTCTTGCTTTTACCCACGTTCAGAAGCTAGAAATGTTTCCTGGATGCACCTGACTTCTATTTTTCCTAAACACAGCTAAACTGACCGCATCTAAACGCAAGACGTAAATGGATACATTGGAATTCATTTGATGCATTTATACGCGTTTAGAAAACCATTAAAAATGCATAGAAAAGAACCTAAGTGCACCCTAGTGTGAATGCGGCCTTGCTGTTATTCTCTCTAAAGTCTACCAGTCTGCTCAGGCTGATTGGAAACAATACAAATGTCTCTAGGTGGCTGTTTTCAATATCTCGTTTTTGTTCAGTCTGAGTCTGGACAGAACCTCTTAAGGTGGCCATACACTTTACAACCATCGCAAGACCTTAGTCTTACGATGGTTGTAAAGTAATTTAAAAAATGTACGATCTGCCCATCTTGGACAGGCAGATGGTACTCTCGATCATCGCAAGCCCTCCCCCCTGAGGGGCGGGCTTCCGTTGACCGCAATGCTGAACGGGCAGTGTGCGCGTGCGCACACCGGCCCGTTCGGCATTTGTCTCCCGAGCACCGTTCAAACCAGACGAAAATCGTACGATTTTCGGCTGGTCTTCTAGCGTGCTCTTTAGACAAAAGACGTGCGACCGTACAGTAGAAACGGTCGCACGTCTTCGTTCACACTGCTCGATTCTCGTACGAGAATCAAGCAGTGCATGGGCACCTTTAGACATAACCTGCAGATGATCACCCCTGAACACAAACTGTTTGCATGCAGGGGCAATCACAGGTAATCACAGCATGTCTGATTACATACAAATGGCTGCAAGCACTATTAGCTGTCATTGCTCTATATAGCACTTCTCGCTGTTTGCAGGAGTCTCAGGGGGCAATTTGTTAGTGAGTAGAATAGAGTAGACATGTGCACCAGCAAAAAATTCATTCAGTTTCATTTGAAACAAAACAAAAACAAAATTGGTTTAGTTTAGTTTAGTTTTGAAACAAAAAACATTTTTTTGTTTAGTTTCGTTTTTCGGGTCCGAAATTAAATTAGTTTCGGACGAAATCCGTTAGAGGTAGTCCTGCCGAAATTCGTTTATGGACGAAATTCGTTATTGGACGAATTTCGTTGCAGCAAAATGACATTAGGGGTGAAAAAAGACATTTTTTTTTTTGTCTGCAGAAGATGAAAAAAAAAAAGCCTGAGGTTCCCCCCCTATTTATACCAGACCCTTTAGGTCTGGTAGGAATGTTAGGAGAATGCCAATTCAAAAGCAAAGAAACATTATTTATAATTTCTTATAATTATTTATAATTTATTATATTATAATTTTTTAATTTCGTGTTTCAAACTTTATCGTACCTGGGATGTCTACTGGACTCTTGTTTGGACAGATTTAGGTGAGTTATTCCTAAGATTTACTAAGAATTAAGGGCCTACAATATAAAACAACAAATTGCCATGAAAAACAATGTACTGCTTTAGGGTGCTAAAATCCTGAATAATCATACCGCCAAGGAGGTTAAGATTGTTTACCAAGTATATTCTCACTTTATTCACTAATCTGGTAATTTCTCACCAAAATGTATTTGCAACCCTCCACAAATTTGGAAATATTATGGAACTTCTTATCAACAAAAGCAAATCAAAAGCCTTAAACATAACCCTTTCTTGGTAGTCTAGACACATTTTTGTGGCAACTTCAGATTCTCCTAGGTTCCCTTTAAGTTACCATATTTAGACGTACATATAATTGTTGACTACCACACTCTGTATCAAGCTAACTACCCATTCCTAATTAACCAACTCTCGGGCCTTAAGCAGTAAGGGACTAATCTTACTTCATGGCTGATGACAATGCTTCCCAAATTTTTATGTTATGCTTGGGTTCTCTAGATCTGGATATCTACGTATCGCCTCCATGCATTCCAGTCATACATCATAAAATTCGTGTGGGGTAAGACAAAGTCCAGAATCGCAGTTAACATTCTATTCTGGCCTAAATTCCGTGGGGTTTAAGTCTTCCTCACGTAACAAGCTATTGTTACATGGCCCAGGTAACACAACCCACCACGTTTCAGGTCACCATGAACACTCCCCTTTGGCTTTTCTTAGAAGCCTTCTCATGCTTCCTCACTGGCATTCACAATCTACTCTGGCCACCCCCAGGAAAATATCAGGACCAATCAGGAACACAATATTCACTTCATGTGTGGAACAACTCCGTTAAACAAAATGAAACATTTATTTCCATACATCTCTGCTCTCTTTTTTCTCTTAGGTGCTAACAATTCCTCAACTTCCACCTGGTGGATTAGGAAACTCTCACCACAGTGCAAACTCAAGAATAGTGAAACTGTTTCAATTGGATATTTAGAGGAAAAATATAACATTCTACCTCGGGAATTACATAAATCTTCAAACTAAGCAATTTTTTCTCAATTATTACACAGCCAGATACCCCTTGTAATATTTTTGAATAGAAATGCGAATGGACTCCTGGCCTGATATCCTGACTTTATTTCCAGCTACTGATGCCCCTATCAACTTCCCTCTCCCCATATTCCATTAAAAGGGAACAGTAACTCCATACATCTGTGTCACCGGAAGATAGAAATTCTACCTGAATACCAGTCTCTAAAAGCCAACGTCCTGGTTGAAGCCAACAAAAAGCTCCTGCTTCGCTGATACCTAGTCAAATCATGCATCTGAAGAGCCCTACGCAATTACCCTGCAACTTACAACAGAGGCTACTACTCAAAAATAACTTACAACCAGGGAAACAAGGCGTTTGCCTTAACAACCATGAACCCTATAGATGTTGTCCTTTTTAAGCCACCTGCCCACTGCTGTAGGAGCCAATCTAAGCAGGTAAACCTACATTTTCAGTACTTCCAAAAGAACCATTGTGAAATCATGAAAGACCACCTCACTGCCCTTCAAGAAGTTTAAAAGCAAGGTTACACAGCATATTTCTTGAAACAATACCTGCCACGCAGAATGACAAACTTAAAAAGTTAAACCAGACCTGGTCCCTATGGGTTGAAAATTTTTACCAGCCACGTTCAGTGCTCACTTAATTTGAAATGCCCATTCTTTTTCAGTTAATTGGCTTTTATACTAAAGTGGTGCTCCTGCCTGACTTGCCTTCTTTGGGTGTCCCTTCCTTGTTACCCCCCAGGCCCCTCTGGCCTCCCCCAGAATTCCCCCTGCTTTTTGTTTCTACCCTCTTGTTCTTCCTCCTTGTCAGTCCATCCCTTTCTCAACATCCACCATACCCTTTCCCTCTTTATCCCACCCCTTTAACTATAATACCCTAAAAGTTAAAGTACCATCTAGTCCATCTCAACCCCCCTCGTGTCGCTACGTACCTTATACCATGGGACAAACCAGACTATACCCCACCCACTGCAACATTACCAAACAGCGCTGAACCTGTGCCACTGTTAAATGCATGTATGTACATAATACCACAAGTATATATTGATGTAATAAATGTATTTATAATGTAAACTTTTATATCTGTTTCACAACTGCATTTGTACGAACTCCTTCATTCTATTTTGTTGTGTATTGCTTTGTTTAATGAAAACTTTGAATAAAAACCCATTGAAAGAAAGAATGGCAAGTTTAATTGCACTAAGTGGGGGATATTGCTACATCATCTGCATCTCCAAAGCTCCCTTCTTTTTTCAAAACAACTGAGCAGTATTTTTCCTATAAAATAAATTACCATGGATCGGGGTCAAATAATCTTTAGGGTATATGTCTGAGCAAAAAAAAACCTGTACATCTGCAATACAAGCACATCTCCTCAAGTTTTGTCTCTTAAAATATGCTGGAAGTACAGAAAAATATCTGTTGATCTTAAAAGATATCTAGGGAATACCTAACTTCCTGTAGCACGCTGACAATATTGCCTATGCTACACTGAGATTGCAAGCAGCGTTGACAGCCATGCATGAGTTTTCTCCTACTGGACTACAGAACAAATCCCTCATCTCATTAACTCCTCCCTGGTTGCATGCTCAGCACTACAACCCCCTTACTAAAGGCATGCTGAAAATTTAAATAGGGAGGAGTTACGGAGATAACAAAAGCAAAGTGGGTTGGCAATGTCATTAAGTAGTTATGCAGTCAGGCAGGGAAAATCCCAGGCAAGGCTGACAACATTGCTAGCTATTTCATCAGAGGCAGCATCATCAACTTGTTACAGAAAGTTAGAAGCTCATTGGATTTGTAACAGGATGAACAGGTATTTTTCTGAACTCGCTGTATTGAAAGAGACAAAATATGGGGTAATGGATATGCATTGTACGTATTAAAAATGTTTTTCATTTTGTTCAGACATACGCTTTACACACTCAGCAAGAAATATGTATTGTAAGGTTGCACACTAAAGATCTGTAAAGGTTATCATCTATGACAAGCTACGCTCTCAAAAGCTTGATCAGGAGTATATACTGTACATACAGTATATATAAATATATTAAACTATGACACCAACCTTCCAGACACAAGCATAGAAAGTTTATCGATGGGAGTTTTGCCTTGAACTGCATAACAATGCTCCCTTTCCAGTGTGACCACTTCTGCACTACAGTATGAAATGATCTTCCGGAATAAAGTTTGTGAGATCCCCAGGGGCTGAAAGACTGAATTGTACACATCTTGGAATTCTTTGTCAAAAGTTACACTTCTCAGCTGGTAGGCAAGGTGAATGATCTGCACAATACAGATCACGAGAAGGATGAAGTCCCAGGAGAAGACATCCGCAGCACAGACATCCAGCCAGGCCCATATACAGGTACATAGAAAACTCAAAGCAAAGAAGGCGTACACATATAGAAGCCCAAAGAAGCCACTTCCGCCCATACAACCCAACACAAACAGAACACTGGCCAGATGGTAAATGGATCCCTCAGCCTCTTCCTTCCATTCAGGGCACACAGGATGTCCGGTCACAAGGCTTTCCCAAAAACTAACATTTTCACCCATGGCTGCCTTGATCAAGATGGCTTCTACATCAGGATAGCATTGTTTCTTTCGTTCATGTCAGCCATGTATGTTGTACTGCTGCCATTTCTTCTATGTTGTGGAATGCTATTTTATATTCAATCCACTGTTGAGCTTGTACCTTGGCATGTTTTTTCTGTTCAATTCTCCAGCAAGTTGTAGAACCATTAGCAAAGACATTGTTTTGGTCATAGTGCAGTTGCCCGTGGTTCCATCCTTGTCCCCAAATAATACTTGTAATGATATAAATCCACAGTACACCGGTATGGAGAGCACTGATAATCTAAAAAAGAAACAGGAAAAGGTTAATAAATGCTTGAGATTTAGTGATATAAGCAAAGATTTTGCTCTCAGCAAAGATTTTTTTCTTAACCGAATATGCAAGGAGGAGTACTTATGAGCATTAGATCATGCTGCCAAATAATCCATGTTGTTCCAAGATAGATATCAATGGGCAGCCTTAGGGACATGTCTTGTGAGTCATTTTGTCACAGCTACAGAGTTTCTCTCTAACAGAACAAATCAGCTGCAGTCAAGCAAAGATTTGTTGCAGTGATAACAGTGATTTGTAGCTCTGTCACTGTGCCATTAAAGTTAAACTGAAGCTACCCACTTGTCATACGGCAGCAGCGGACCCCTGTAAACGGGCTCCCAGAAGTCTGTTTCCCTTTGCAAAGCGGACTGTAGGCAATACACTGGAAGCACTTTGGGCGGCTGTACAAGCTGAAAAACACAAAAAAATGGTGCGCAATTCACACCTGCCAGGAGGTGCATTGGGTGCCATTACTTAAGTGCAATGCTATGCTGTGAAACGGTCCTTAGAAAAAGATGTTCCCTATGCTGTCTGTAAAACCACTAGAGAGTATGATCCTTCCTGTCCTGCCTAAAGAGCAGGATGGACCAGCTATTGGATGCATGATCCCATCAGCGCAGGAACAAGCGCCCTGACTCGATCACAACCTATGCATGTGCAGTGCACTCTTGCCCTCTCTGTCACAGCAGTGGCTGAGCCCAGCACTGTGTGACAGAAGAGAGAGAGAGTGCACTGCACATGCACAGGGTTTGAACGAGCCAGAGTGCTAATTTTTGCACCGGTCAGGCTACCCGTCTAACGGCCAGCATGGGAATTGCCCACTCTAGGCAGGCTGGGCAGAGGCTGCGTACGTCCAACAGATATACTTTGAAAGTTGAGCATTTAAGATTTTTAAAGCCTGAGGGCTGTTACTGCAATTACTTTTGCACGCTATTCTAATTATTCGAGTTTCACCTGTATATATTCTGTTTTGAAGCAATGTTTTGGTATCTGCACTCTTATAGGATGATTATGGTGGCTACTACATACATCTTTGTCAAAGCTTTGAAGAGGGAGGTAAAGGCTAGTTGAGTAGGAGTAATACTGAAAACAACAGATGTATAACATGTTTCTGAAGTACGCAAACATGTCATGAAATGCTAGAATTATGTGTTAAATATAGGTTAATGTTTGTATTTCCATTTGTTACTCTGGGGAAATTTCAGATGCATGTGTATGTGAGGTCTTAGTCTATCTTTTAAAAATGCATTATAATGTGGAATATAACATGGGTGCAAAAATGGAAAAAAGGGCCTCAGTCATGAAGGGGTTAAAAAAGAAATCCACCTTTCTGACAATGTTTCATGTTACACCCATATTTATGGTTTTATCCTCCAGCTTCAAACTGCCCCCCACCCCCATTTACCTGAATCATGAGGTGCTTCTCCCTGGAATGTCCCACATATTTTTTAATTTGGCGTGGCTGTGTGTGTGGCTCTACTGGAACAGTCGTGTATGTCATTCACAGATACATTCAGAGGATCTGTGAATTAAAAGACTACCAATCTCATCTGCCGCCACAGCAGAGGGACTCATAGATCTCAATGGAGCACAAGTGTGGTGACATCACTACATGTGTAGTCCACTGATTACTTCCTCCAACCCCATAAGCAAAGGTCCGTACCCCTGTACCTGCAGGAGCCGGTGCCTTGCACCCACAATCCACTGATTACGGTTGCAAGGCTCTGCAGGCTCAAAAGCAAAAAAAATAATTAAATGTACATTTTGCAATAATGTGAGCGTGCATTACTTTTTTTTTTTAAACATGGACTATGCCTGATTTTTTTTATAGTCACAGCACATGTTGCAAAATTCTTCTAAAGACATTTGCATTTGGCTGTGCCTAAGTAGGGTAAATGAATGGAAAAGACAGTGACTGTACCACAGGAGAAATTACTATGTTGAATAGGAAATATTCCTATTAACAGCATAATATATTCAAAAGGAACACCTCTAAAAGGCTCTGTATAAATTCTTTGTATTCTGTAATATAAATATGGCTATGGTACTTTCAAGTGAAAAGACCGAGCATATGAAAGAGTATTTGTTGCAAGGCAGCACAGTTTATTACAACAAGCAACGCTTAGCTCAGGAAGATAAACTACCGTATATACTCGAGTATAAGCCGTCCCGAATATAAGCCGAGGTACCTAATTTTACCACAAAAAACTGGGAAAAAATATTGACTTGAGTATAAGCCGAGGGTGGGAAATGAGGCAGCTACTGGTAAATGTACAAAATGAAGATAGATACCAATAAAATTACATGAATATTTATTTAAAAGAAAAACAATAACCTAGCTCTGTAAGTGGAAAAGGGGGTACAGGGCTACATATAATGTACTACGGATCATTTAACCCATTCATATTAGCAGAGGATAATTGTAAATCTATTGTTCAGTGCATTCTATATGTAGTATATAGTACATGTACATATAGAGTGCCTGCAACAATACATTTACAATGATCCTCTGCTAACATGAATGGGTTAAATGATCCATAGTACAGGGCTACATACAGATCATTTAATACATTCATGTTAGTATAATTGTAAATGTATTGTCTGCACTGTATTAGCAGTATATACTCTATATAGAGTATATACTGCTAATACAGTGCAGACAATACATAATTGCTTAATAAATCTCCCCCCCAAATCTGCCCTCACTCACTGTGTCCGTGTGCCGGAGAGAGCAGGGACGAGTCAGCGGCGCGCTGGTCCAGTGGGAGGAGCTCCAGGTGGGGTCCTAATTTAGCTGACTTAGAGGTGCCTGCCCGCTAAATTACAACCCCACCTGGAGCTCCTCTCGCCTGATCAGCGCGCCGCTGACTCATCCCTGCTCCCCTGCTTGACTGGCCGCTGCGGGGGTTTTTTTTTCTTCTTACTTACCTCGCCGAGCGTCGCATCGCGTCACTGCTGCTCCGGTGGGCGGCGCTCCGAGCGGGGTCATCTGGCAGTCTCCGGCCACCTAAATTAGGACCCGGAGACTGCCAGATGACCCCGCTCGGAGCGCCGCCCACCGGAGCATCAGTGACGCGACACTCGGCGAGGTAAGTAAGAAGAAACCTGACCAGCTCGAGACGCTGACTCGAGTATAAGCCGAGGGGGGCACTTTTCAGCACAAAAAATGGCCTGAAAAACTCAGCTTATACTCCAGTATATACGGTATATAACATGCACTAATGAGTGAATCCTTTTTTTTTACCAGAACATTGTTTTTGAGGCTTTACCTCATTCATCACATAGCCTTATTTAATAAATGCAATATAACATTCACAGTCATTTATTTACAGTCATTAAGTGCAGAGCAACCAATCAGATTTCAATGTATTGTAGTCAGGAGAGAGAGAGATTAATTATTTACTTTTGGTTGCCACAGATAACTGCTTTTTGTCCATATTGGCCTGAAAAAAAGCCTCCTGTACATTCTCACATCCTGCAATTGAGGAAGAGTTCTTCCTTTCTTCAAATAAAACAGAGCTCCGGAATAAGCAGGTATTGCCTAAATACAAGAGCCATGTGTATTCTTACTAGAATCTTGGTGTGCTTTGTGTATTTCTTCCAGATCTCTGCAGTAACCCAGTGTTAAATGTTGCCTCTGTGTAGGAGCTTCCAGTAATAAAGACCAGTCACTGCTGCAATCCCTCCTTGTGCAGGGCTACTGGTCTTGTACACGCCCCCTCCTGTAAATTTTCTGCAGGCGGCCTGTAGTGGGTGGAGCTTGCTTCGCCCCTCCCGCAGCTCTGCACAGGCTATGTACACCACAGTGATAATGTCACTACTGCTTCTGCTCAGTGGCGGAACAATCGCCATAGCGGCCCAGGCGGCTGCTATGGGGTCCAGCCAGGATGAGGAACAAAGGGGTGCCCCAGATGCCGTGCGGGCTGCCTGGGTCGCTATGGCATTGCAGGCTGCTGGCTGTCACTGGTGGCTGTAAGGAGGAACGCGCCGCTGTCCAGATCACTGACAACCTGTCAGTGATCTTTGCAGCGGTGCATTCCTCCTCACAGCCGCTGAGTCAGTGACAGCCAGCAGCTCGCAAGGGAGGAGGCCGGGGCCGGGTGGCGGCAGCGGAGGAGGTAGGCCCGGCAACAGCAGAGGCGGGCCCGGTGGTGGGGGAGGAGGCAGAGGCTGCCGGCAACCGAGGAGGAGGCGGGTCCCGGAGGTGGAGAAGGCTGACAGCGGATCGGGGCTGACAGGTAAGAGGTGTACAGGGTGTGTGACCAGCCCACCAAAGACCCTGCAGAGCCCACCATAAAGTGTCTATGCAGGGTCACTCTTAGGTGGGCTGTGTGGGATCTCAGGTGGGCTCTGCAAGGGGTGTAACTAGAAATCACAGGGCCCCATACAACATTTTGCTATGGGGCCCTGTGATTTCTAGTTACGCCCCTGCTTCTGCTACTTTGAAAAAGTAATAACCTACCTTGAAAAGGCTTTTGACGCTCACAAAGTGGATTTATATACTTTGTGGCTGTTGAGAAATACATTTAAATGAATGTTTTATTATCTGAGTTCAGCTTTAATGAAAGAGGGGTAGGCAGGAAAAACAGGAAAGAGCTTACAGCGGCTGTTATGGTCACATGACAAATTTGAAGTGATTCATACCTTACTGATCAAGGCATTCAACAATATGATCTGATCTATCCTTTTTGAGTAACACACGTGAATGTAAAACCCACTTAGCCACCAGCAACAAACCATTCAAGAAGCCAGCAAATGCAACTTACTGCTTTACCCGCCGTTA